CTTGGGTGGCCCAATAAAGAAGCATGTGTTGGCTGGAGAGTGCAGGAGGCGAGTGCCCCTAGCAGCTAACATTGCCCAAAAAACAGCTAGTACTGCACAAACCCCAACACCAATCACGTGTCAACATTCTACCCACTAAAAGAAGTACCCCTCCATTGTTTCACAGTTTCACCTTCTTCGCCTTATCATCTTCTTTCTTTTTCTACCATTTTTCTACATTCAAGCTCGCTTCCTGATCCTTATCTACTTCTTTTTCTGGCAACAAATTTTATCCTTCTTTGCTTGAGAAGTGAGCAGCAACAACCAAATCCTATTATTTAAGGTTGGCTCCACATGATTGGGGTCACCAAATAGATTTCCATCCCGCCAGTGCGTGAGATGTGAGCAATGGCAGTGAACAGCGACACGCCGGCACCGTAGCAGTCCAAAATCTTTCCCTCCCTTGAGGCAAATTTCTGGAAATCTCTTCTTCAATTTTTGTGAAAGTGAAATCGAGATTTCAAACGATTTTACGAAAAAATCGTGCTTTTACGTTTTTATCATCCGATTTTATGAAAATCCGATTTTAAAGTCGATTTTACTCGGCATCCATAACTAACATCGTAAAATCTTAAGATTTTATGATATAAAACGTGATTTTGACAACACTGGCTGGAGGTTGTACCAAAAGGCAAGGATCAACAAAGAACAATGCAATGTACCCACTGTAAATTAATCCAAGGAAAATAAATACAAAAATAAATCAATCAATTGACCAAGAGAGGAGCGAACTCACCTGCACCGGTGCGGAGTGGAGAACAAGGGGCGCGACGGAAAAACCGCGACGAAAGAACAGCGACAGCAAGTTTCACCGGAGAAGAAACCAGATCTACCACCACAGAGGGAGAAGCAAAAATGGGGAAGAAAGGAGAGGTGGGGGTGATATGAACCGGTATATTCGACAGCCAAAGCTGCCGAATATACAGAGGAAATGATGTCGTTACCTAACATACTGGAGCCGATTATGTTGCCATACATATTCGACAGGAAATTTTTAACAAATAAACACATTCGTCAAAAATTTTCTGTCGAATATGTTTATATATTCAACAAAAAAGTTGTCGAATATGAATATTGTCGATTAAACCAGAAGTTTCCATTATCATCGTCAATTTTACATCTTCGTCAATCTTTCTGTCGATTATGTACACATTTTCATCAGAAATATGGCTGTCGAATATAATCTTGTCGCATATGCCGCGTTTTCCAGTAGTGTGCCCCCACTTGAAGTGAATCTGGAATCTTTATCTCCAACTCTGACATTCTTGATACCAGAATTTGTAATTCATGCACTTGATCCATGATGGAAATGTCATCTTTCATTTCAAACTCAAAATATTTAAGTGCAAGAAACTTGTCCGTACCTTTCTTTTCATGCTTGTATTTCTTTTTCAAAGCCATCCAAATTTCTTAAGGAGAAGACATGTTGCAACACAGATCATAAAGTCTATTAGTGAGAGAATTCAGAATGTGTCCACGACATATGAGTTCATCTTCCTCACACTTTAGTCTTCCATTCTTCACTGCTTCAGAATCATTTTCCTTCGATGCTTGGATAGGTTGCAATTTTGGATCAAGAATGTATGACACCTTCAATGTTGTTAGTAGGAAAGTCATCTTATCCTTCCAACGCATGTAGTTGGTGCCATCGAACCTATCCAATCTAACTGCATCTAGATTCAACAACTTGATGTTGGCGTTCATAGGAAGAGCCATATGGAATTTTAAATCCTTAAGATTGTTAAGAAATATTAAATAGCAAAAGAATAAAAGATTGTTCTGAAGCGTGATCTCACTCTCCTTAAGGATTTAAAATCCTCCAAGATACAACAGAACTCAAAACTCTCTTAGAATTAGATATAGAACTCTAACATTGCATAGGAATTTATAATGCCTAAAAAGTCACTATTTAAAGGGATGTATCCCTCCAAAAGACACCATTTCATAGGGGTACCTTTTGACTACTAATAGTCATGTCTGATTTTCAAACATGTCTTTCTAAATTATAATTTAATAAAATAAAATAAAAAATCTGAAAATAATAAAAAATTAAAGATGTTCTAGCAGTCAAGCCCCAAGGTGCCCAAGTGCCCATCTTTGATTATATATAAAGGGCTAAGACCCAATTTCCCTTGGGTTTCATTTTACTTAATTATTTGTTGATAAAGAATAGGCATTTATAAACGCCTTTAAATTCTCATACTTTATTGATGTGGGATTTTAAACATTTACAAACTATTCAACACAAAGAAGGAAAACATAATTATTTGATGAAATCCCACTTCACCAGGAGGGAGAGGATAAAGGAAATGGCTCTTTTTGGCCAAACTATTAAGGGAAATGATTGCTACACATTGTTTAACCCATCCAATTAAGGGGAAAATTGCCATTTGATGTCTTCTAAAGGATGACTAAAGTAATATGAAATTATGAAGGTAAGAACACAAGAAATGAAAAATCACTCGTGCACTCTAGACGTGGTATCCCGAATCCATAAAAAGGTAACATCTCAGCACTATGGATATAGCTCATCGATGTAATGGGAGAGAGCATTTAATGTGAAATTATAAAACGTTAACGTCGTTAACGGAAAA